TCTCTCTCTCTCTCTCTCTCTCTCTCTCTTTCTAATCCCGTGTAAAATACTGTAGGTTTTAATCGATCAGTTATGGATATATTGATCAATCAAAATAAGAAAATATTTTGAAACATTTTTCATATAACTTTCAATAATATATTTTTTGACATTAATTAACAAAACATATAATTTTCTGTGTTTATGGGTTTCAATGCGAACACATTTTTTGATGTAACTTTGATTTTGATTGAAAACTAATCGTTTCTTTTGATTATTGACAAAATTCAATGATTTTATAATTGTGTTAACTATTTAGATGTATTACACATTGTGTGCCATTCCTATAATATATTCAACAAAACTCTTACCTTAATCCCACTTCTCTCTTGAATTTTAATTGAATATTTTATAGATAAGTAATAAATAAATAATAATTTTAACAATTTTGTTCAACATAACAGACTTGTCGTAACATCTTATTTATAATTAAATTTGTCGTTAAAATTCACACTTTATTTCCTTATGTAATACTCGTTATGGAAATCCCAATTATTAACACAAATTTTGATTATTCACAATAAATTATTTGTTTTGATAAAATTATTAAAATTAATTTAAATATTGATTGATTATTTACATAATTTCTTGCTCTTTTTTGTTTCACACATATTAAGTAAGCATTAAATTAATGTATTAATGATTATAATTATTTAAATTATATTTATTTATTGAATATTTATAGCATTGAAAAGTTTTCAAAATAAAAATTCTAGTATTTGTTGTTTTTCCTATTTTTCTTAGATTTTCCTAAAAGCATACGAAGAATCCAAACACTATTACAATGATCTCAAATCTCATTCAAGGCTTTCAATTAGGCCTTAAATACCAATCGTTTCTATTCGACAAATTCAAGAGTCCATCAGATCTAACAATATCTTTACATAATTCATGGTTTCCTCGCCAAGAGTTTAATGATATTCAGCATAACGTTTGACACGATTTCTAACCTCAAGTCACAATAATATCATTGTTTTGTAGAAATGATGCAAATAATGGGAAATTTCCTGATTTTCAGAACTTTTCTCTAACTCTCAATAATTAGGAATTATTTAGCACTTTATTTAACAGCAATTTATAAAGGAAACCGACAGTCATTTAAAAAGTAATTTTATTTTTTTGAACCACTATTTGGGTATCAGATTTGTATTTGAATACCTGTCTCCTAAATATGCACTTCTAAGTCAGTCGCGCCTCAAATACTAAAAGAGATGTATTGAGGGGTAAAATGAATGGAAAAAATGTATTTTACAATAATATACACATTGTATCGACTCTTATGAAGGAATGAGATCAAGGCTATCATCCAAACACTCGTTTCATTCTCCCAAAAACAAACTTAAATCTTCGACACAATTCATTATAAGCTTATTCTCTATGAAAGAAAACTTTCATTTTTTCAAATAGACTTTTAAACTAATCATATGAAAACACAAAACTCTTATTAATACATTTAAATTTTAAAATCTCTCTCTCTCTCTCTCTCTCCAAGAATGATAGATAACGTCTGTCTTAACAAACGTCAAAATGAAAAAATTTCATTTTAATTAACATCTAATCAATGGTTCTGTCAATGGATTTCCAAATTGGAGGCGAAAACGCGTTTTCATTAAATTTTGGTATTTTCTGATTAAAAAAATACATAACAATTCGTAAATTAATTTGTATTCAGGTATTCAAGCATTCAATTGGCTCTTAAGAAACACATGTCTGAAGACAAATGTAATTGCACTTGGAAATTAAAAAATAATTTATTGGCATATTAAACAACTGCCCCTTTATATTGAGCCCCCCTTAACACAGACACCAAGCGTTTAATCCATGCATTTCTAGGTGTTGTGGCCATCGGTTGCGCTGAAGACCGCACCCAATCATAACTATGTCTATCAGTATAACTGTTAACAAATGTATTGACAAAAGAAATACAGACTTTCGCTCTTCAAGGAAGCAGTGGATAGTGTGGTGTGTCTGAAGACCTTGGATTCAGACGCCAAACACATCCAGTTCTTTGCAGTTCTTGCGTAAAAAAATCGCTTCGATTCGATGCATCCCTCGCTCTCTCACTCCTCATCCCAGACCTCCACTTCTTCTCCCATACTATCTCTCTCTCACTCTCTATACGCCCCGTGACGTCAGCATCGGATCCGATCCCCAAAATGGTATATAAAACTGATCCCAAAGTACGAAGTCTTTCATTCAGTCTTTACGAAAGTAAAAGCAAATCCCAAAAAACCTCATAAAAATGAAGACCGCTTGCGTTATCCTCGCCCTCTGTGGCTATGTGTCCGCCGGTGTCATCGGTTACGGCGCGCCCGTCGGTGTCCTCAACACCGGTGCCTCATCGCAGTTCCGTAGCCAAGATGTAAGTGCTATTTGAGGATTAATCCACGGATAACCCCAAAAACCCTAATCTCTTGTCTGTTCCGACCGATCGTACAGAACATTGGAAACTATGCTTTCGGTTACAACGAAGACCACTCAACCGGCGGTACCTTCAGACGAGAGGAGGGCGCACCTGGCGTTCAGGTCGGCTCATACGGTCTGAGAGACGCTGACGGACGAGTCCGAGTTGTCAACTACGTGGCCGATGCCGGCGGATTCAGAGCCAACATCCAGACCAATGAGCCCGGCGTTGAGCCCAAGGATCCCGCAAATGTGCTCATCAACAAAGCTCAGGCTATCGTTGGTAAGCATTCGCATCATTTGTCTGATCCACGTCTTGTAATCGACGCCAACCACTCATTACCATTTCATTTAATGCCATAACAGCCGCCGCCGCACCGGTCGTCGCCGCCGCCCCGTTAGTCGCTGCCCCCGCTGTCCACCACACCGTGGCCGCCGCACCCGTGGTCTCCCACTATGGAGCACCCCTAGTGTCCCACTATAACGCACCCGTCGCCCATTACGCCGCTCCCGTCCAGAGCCACTCGTACTCAACCCACACCCAACATGTGGCCGGAGCACCCCTTGTGCACACCTATGCCGCCGCCCCAGTGGTTCAAACCCATTTGGCTGCCCCATTGGCCGCACCCGTGGCCTATGCCACTAAGACCATCCACTCGGCCCACGCCGCTCCCCTTCTCAACTACTGGTAATCAAACCAATTGTCTGATCATTTGTTAGACAATCGTTGCTGAAGAAGACGTCCAACCGATAAAAACTTTATGTTATGTGATCTCTGTTTCTCTCCTCTCCTCCTCTACTCTCGCTTTCATTTTGTCCGCGAAATAGATTTGTTGAGCGCTTTATTTACAGATAAATTTGTTTCCAATAAATCATATTTTAAGTTACAGTACAGATGAAGAAATACTCTATAAATAGTTATTTTACACGAATTCCTTCCTCTCGTTCTCTTCCTCTTCTTCTCTCCTCTCAAACAATGTCTGACTTGTCGTCGGAGTCGAGGAATCGATGTCTCTGTAAATGTAATGAGTGGCCGAAAGTCCTCCTCAAAGTCTAGTGAAAAATCAATTGTTTTCTCTCTTTATATACCTTTTTAAGTGTAAATAAAATATTTTTATAGTAAAACCAATTATAAAATCGATTTTACTTTAACTGTATTTTCAATTTAATTGTTTTTATGTTCAGTTAATTGTCAATAAAGTTATAGTTTTAGATCTGAACCGTTGTGTTGTGTTTTAATTCATTCAAAATTGTCTTTGTATTATCATATGATCGCATCCATCATCTCAATAGCCTTGATTAATTATTGATGTATAGTGTACTAAGTTAGTATATTAAATATTTAGGCATTAAAATTAGTTTTAGTGTACTTTAGATGTAATTATAAATTAAAATTAAGTACACTATTCATTGATAAGTATAGCATTAAAAGCATTTGAAACGATCAAAACATTGATTAAATCACTTTAAATTAGTATTAAGATTCAAATTATAATTAATACAACTGATAAGGGATTAAAACTACTAATCAAATCGATATTTAAATCCATAAAAATAGTCACAAGTATTTCAATGGCATTGAAAATAAAAAGTTTTGCACAAAAACGTGATTTAAAACAAGCGCTCAAATAATGTGCAAAAATGAGTGCATTTGTTGAGTGTTTGGCAAAACCAATGAGCGATCGATGCGTTCAATGAGAAAATGCGGCAAAAATTTTTTGCACACATTTTGTACTGAAAACACATTGAATTCAAAACACAATAAAAACACTGATTTTTTGTCCACCAATTGATCCGATAATCGCGTGACAACTCATCCCTACTGTCCATTGGATCCATCGGTGACACAACACACACGCGAAGACACACTGAAGCGAAAGAGACAATCATCTGGTGGTGAATGTGTGGACACGATGTGTGACACAAACGAAAACGCTGTGAAAGTATTGAAACGCCGATCACTGCAGTCAATACAAGCCACCGGTGGTAACGATCCCCGACTCCTCACCCGACACATGGCCTCCAAGACGGCCACCAAAGCTGGTCTCAGGAGTGGTTCAGTGAAGACGGCGGTAGACAAAGAGTCGACGAAGAAGGAGAAGAACGAGAGGATCACCAATTGGTTGACCCGTAAGGACGCCGTCGATAATGATGTGAAGTACTGGAAGTGTTTGGCCGAAGAGCGGTCTAAAGCGTTGGACACAACTCTTCGGGAGAACCAGTCGTTGAGCGAAGAGAACGAACGGCTGACCAAACAGTTAGAAGAAGTCACTCACGAGAGGGAACTCTTGGAGGCGGAGAACAAACACTTGAGCCAATTGGCCGAAGAGGCCGTCAAACTGAGGGATCTGCTCGCAGAGTGTGGTGTCGAGTAATGATCACTCGGTGTGTCTGTTGTCCTCTTCGCCGAAGATATCACCACTTCTTCCGAGTCTATCATTTTGTTTGAGTGACTTTTCTTTCATTTTATTTTTTCTTGATTTTCATTTCAATTTATCGTTTGATTTATTAATTAATAACAAATATATAATTAAATTGTGATTTACTTTTTATTTTATTTTTCTTATAATTGAAATTTATTATCAGATAATTTGAGTGTTATTTATGTGTCTTTAAGACTCGGTCTATAATTATAATGTATTTTTCAATTTTTTATATCAATAATTAGTTTCTAAACAACAAAAACAATCATTAATTGATTGATAATTACATGAATTGCTTGTCGTTTGGACTCAATTGAGGAGTCGTTTATATTTTATGCCCAAAGAATTCATTCTTGAATTGAGTTTTGATTTAATTTTTTCAAAATATTAGTTAATATGAAATGTTAATTAAACTAAAGTTTATTATTCAATAAATAAGTAAATAAATAAAATTATCGTTTAATTGTATTGACATTTATGTCGGAAATTAAGTTATTAATTAATAATAGGGACACTAAAAACGTGGTGAATACTTGTGATTAAATAAATAACAATACAGTATAGTTAGGCCAAGCCTAGCACCCCATAATCTACATTTACATTGTTTTACACAAAGCGCATGTCGACTGTATAATACACTCTGGTGTTCGCACATGCGCTTTGTGTAAAACAATGTAAATGTAGATTATGGGGTGCTAGGCTTGGCTTAACTATACTGTATATTATAACTGTTATATAATATTTCCTTAATTTCAAAAGGGTTTTGATATAAAATATATATTTTGTGAGCAATTAATTGAGAGGTCGACTAAAGCTAACACCAAATGACACCAAAGGATAAATTGTTTCAATACTTTCTTTTCTCCCACTTTCACTTGTATTGAATTTTTTTCATATAAAACTAAATGAACTTTAATTCTCTTAAATTTAGTGCCAATTGTCTCGATATTGCACTTAAAACAAACAAAACCAGAATATTGTTAACAATATAACAATTTAAACGAAAGAATATTTTCTCTTATTTCATATTTATAATCATAAAAATTTTAGTTTTATATAAAGTTTTTTGTATATTATATAAAATACGAGTACAAAATATATCATGTTTTAAATTCATTGAAGTAATCATTTCTATAGTTTATCATTTAATTCAGTTTCCTCTGCGCTCTAATTGTCATTCACTTTAAATGTTTGCCTCAAAAAGCATTTTATACACAATTAATTTCTCGCTATTAGTTTTTGCCCCCGAAATGAATGTTTGTTTTTTCAATGGACAGGAATTTTTGGTGACATGTATTTGGTATAAACAGCAGAAGAAATGTTTGTAGATTTTTATGTGATTTAAATCCCATTAATCGTCTCGTAGTTTAGACATTAATTGCGAAAATTAGATATGAATTTAATGTTTAGAAAATAAACGATTATTAAAAACAAAGTTAATATAATATTAAATGAAAACAATTCATGATTTTATTTATTGGCCGTATGTTTAAAAATAGATGTTCTGTTAAGGAAATTGTTATTTAATAATAATAAATATATTTATATATGTTTTGTCTATTATAATGAACTGTGGCCTCAATTTAGGTGACAATTATAATAAATATTCAATTCATATTTCTATTAATAATATAAAAACTTATTTGTCATCCAATAAAATATAATAACACTTATGTTATATACAGTTATTTTGTGTATATTAAAGCGTTAATCAGATTATTTACAAACACATTAATTATTGGATCAAAAAATAATAACAGTTAAAAATACGAAACAATGAAATATAAATAATATTTGAGCGAAAATTAAGAGAAAGAAAGAAACAGAGAAAGAAAGAAACAGAGAAAGAAAGAGGAGAGAGAGAGAGAGAGAGAGAGAGAGAGAGAGAGAGCGTTAGAGCAGAGCATATGATAATAATTTAGTTGTTAATTGGCATATAATTAAGGGGTCTTTAATTCAATCATTCCGTGCAATAGTTGTTAGTGTATTGAAAGTTATTGTCATTTATTGAATATAAGCGTTAGATTTTGTCAATTAATTGGACGGAAAAAGTAGTGCCAAAGTTTGTCGTGATATTGTGAACCAAATCATACAATACATTGCTGTAGTGTTTGGTTTGGTTAGCAAAAGGGAAAAAGTCAGCAGAAAGTTATTTAAAAGTCTTTTGTCTTTATAAGTGGTTATAATTTGGACTTAAAATAGAGTTTTGGCAAAAACAATAGCATTCGATAGTAATTACTATTATAATTAACAATTAATTTTGATTAGATATAGAATTAGATTCAATGTTTATATCTTTCAATAAGTTTTAAACAGTAATTTTGAGAGAAATGGTTGCAAAAGATATTAATTATCGATTAATTTTATCAATTTTAATTTTGGGAAAGTTATAGTTTGAATGAGTGGAAAATATAGTGCACTTAACTAATGAAACACAGAGTTAAAAGGGTTTACAAACAATATCCTCATAATTACGGTTTAGTATCCAAAATAAGGCACAAATTGTGGCGAGTCTTGATAGGCGGCAACGGGTCGGGAATACACGGGCGCTGAGTGTGAATACGCGGCGACGGGTCCGGAGTATACGGGCTGGGCGTGAGAGTAGGCGCCTAATGAGCCATAGCCGCCATCACCGCCGCCATAGTAAGCTCCTGCGCCCGAGTATACGTTTCCGAGGGCCGGGGCGTACACACCGTATCCCTGGCCGCCCGACGCGTACGGAATGGCACCGTAGTTGGGCTGTGGCGGCACTTTACCCGATGGTATGTGCGAATCACTAAATCAAATGGTAATGTCCACCAGTTATTGTATGTGTAATAATAATCAATGTCATTTTGTATACCTGTATCCTTTAGCGTCCGGTCCGTTATAGATAGCGGCGGCGCTGTCTTTGTTAGCCGTTCCTATCCATTGGTGATTATATAATAAATTAATGATTAGTTAATTATTAATTTAGTAAAGTATTGCAAAATATGCAATCAGTGCTATTGTGTCGAAAGGCTAAACAATATGAACTAATAAATTGAAATATTGATATAAGTTATATAATTTGCCAAATATTTGCGAAAATATATAATCAATTGTCATATTAAAGGAAATGAACTATAATTGACGTATAATTTGACCAATAAAAAATGTTTGATAAACAATACAGCCATAGATAACATACCCGGTTCATTGGTTCTGATCTTGGCTCTGAAACCATGACCATCGGCGACCTATAATTTAAATATAATTTACCGTTAAATTACTGTATTATGTCTTTTATATGAGTGAAAGAAAAAAGTTCAAAAGTTGTCATAATTATGGGCACAAAATTTCTAGACTTTAAACGTATTATTCCTATTATTTCGCAAAAATTGCAATTAAATATAATTAACTGTTAATTTGAAAGAAAGTGTTTAAAACTAACGCAAAAGTGTTAATTACGATAAAAATTGGTTTGTAAACCATAGATAAGGCGATAAGAAATGGTAGGCATTGAAAGTAAAGATTGAAAACATGATTAAATAACTGACATAATCGACAATTCTTAGGCGTCCGTCGACGTCGTGCAGGCCATAAGAGCCGACCACTTGTCCGTGAGATCCCGACTCTTTGCGAAAGTTTTTGGCGCCTTTCGGGTCGACAATGTCGTAACCGAACGCATAGTTTCCGTGATCCTGAAGGTATGGATAGAGGGAACAGACAAACAGACACCAGAATTAACAATATATTCACACAAATGTCACAATAAGTATCACAAAAAAAATTGAGTTAATATCCATTACGTCTTGTTTGCGGAAACTGTTTGAATGTCCGCCTCCGCCATAACCGGTGGCAGTGGTCAGAGCCAAAGCGGCCGACAGTAATACTATAGCCTATTAGATGACAGAAATATAACACATAATTATAGCGAACGACAAATTTATAACTCAATCGATGATTTAGTTTCAGCAAAATAAAGCACTTTTGCTGTCAATCAAAAAACAAACAAACCTTCAGAAACATGTTAAACAATTGTAGTTAATATTATCAGCAAAAATTGACTTAATATTTATGATAACAAATATGTTATACGGTATGTATGGCCGACACTCGGGTAGTGTACAGTACGGGACAGTTGTAAAAGTGAGAGTGTATTGTAATTTGTTTGGCGAAAAGCTTTTTATATGTGAGTAGAGATAATGGGATTGTAGTCATTGTGGGCTAATTGAATAAATCATATGTATATTACTATAACGCGGGTGTGGTATATGTGCTCCATATGGTCAAGGATTACCGACAGCCAAATCACTGCTTTATTATTATTATTGCTTTTATGCCTCCTATGATCACGTATTGGATTGATATACGGGTTATACTGTATTACATTTGAAATTAAAATCAATTCATACGACGGCAACCACTCCCTCACCAATCGGTTGGTGACATACCATGACATACACCGGGAGACACATTCAGGGTTAGCCACTCGGCTGTGGGCAGGGCTTCACTTATACACCGATCCGTATAAACTCTCTCTCTCTCTCTCTCTCTCTCTCTCACTTTCAATGACCATAAATCTCACATAAATTGTCACCAATTTATTGCAACTGATTCTTGTTTTTTCATTACATTTTGACAATACATGTAATCAAACAAATTATGTTCACAACTCATATCGGGTTTGATATCAAAAGTTTGGATATTGACTCTCAATGTTATAACTTATAAGATATACAGAGATATTGTTTCGCAAACTTAATGTTAAAATCAATTACTTTTGCATTCAATACAAGATTACTATTTATTGTCTAATAAATAACTAATATAGTTATTATAACTTTTATTTACACTTAATAATTATATTTATGATTTACAATAACCATTATTATTGACATGAATTTAAACTTTTTTAAAAATTATTTTTATTAATTCATTTTAGTCAACAGTAAAAAGTTTATAGATTTTTGGTTATTAGTTTAATATCAATAAATGATTTTTCTGTGTATTTCGATATTATTTCACACAATTTTCTACAAATATAATTAATTAAATGTCAATTAATTTTATTGATATCATTATAACTCAATATAATAGTCATAAAATTTATTTGTTTTAATCAATATTTCATTAATTGTTGTCAAATGTATGATTTGTTTTACTCTAATACACAACTATTAATTTCTTATATAATTTTTATATATTCAGAGATCGGATATTTATTTTGAAATACTTTCGCACGTAATATAACAACGAGTTAATGAAAACTAAATTATAGTTAATAACAGATATTTTATGTGTAAAAATGGGTTAATTATAAAAATATAAAACAATATTTGTTGTGATATCCTCTACAACACCCGCCACTGAATCTTTGCATATATTTAATACACAATTTTATTTCTAATTAAAAATATATATTTAATTGATTGACAGCAAAAATGTACACAAATTTTGAGATAATATATTTTAATTACATTATTAGCAATATATTTAGCGACTAACTTAATATTCAATAAACATACTAATGAATGATTGGTTTGCTATAAAAATATTAAACAACGGATGCATTAATATTCATATTTTCAAAATATAGACAATTATGTACTGATTATAATTGGTTTAAATGTGCGATATACATATTTGTTAAAATTTATTAAGATAAAATAACATTCAAATTATGTAATACTGTATTAGATTACACACTACTCTTATTACCCTATAAAAAATGAATGTGAAAAGTTTATGGTTATTTTTAAGTAATTTTAATTGCTCTATAATTTAACTAATAATTTGTTTTAGTTTTGTTTTGTTATTTGCAATTATTAATCAAATAAGAAAATCAACATTAAATGTAAACAATAATTAGTGTAAACAATTATTTAGTTAAACTTTCAAAAACAATATTTAAATAAATGCCAAACCATTAGAGTAATTAATGTTGAAAAATATGGCTTTTATTTACATATAAACTTCTTATACAATGTTTTGTGTAAATATATTTCACAATCAAAATCACTTTAATTTCGTCAACAGATTTAATGTATGAATTATTTAATAAGAAAGGGTTTTATTATTAAATATAATTTTAATTATCCTAAAGACCAGGAAATTGTTATCGTTGTCCACACTATGTGTTCACTCTTTTTATATTTAATCATTCATTCAAATACTGGCCTTTTGTTTATGGGTAACAAAAACTTATGTCATAAATCATATTAGAAATAGATTTCTAACATTTAATTTATAAATAAATTTTGTGTTGAATTTATTTTATTTGTTTTTATACACTCTTTCTTTCTTTTAATTGAATTTTAATTGAATTTATTATAATAACTTATATTAGACACGAGAAGTTATTAAAGTTATATAAGACTTAATGTATTGTAGTGTTTCATCTAGTGTATTTTAATACTTTTAATTTATTTTTATACAGTATATACTGTCTAAAGAGTTGTCAGTAATAAGATTTATAATTTTCTATTATAAAAAACAAATTCTAGTTTGTATTTCTACCTTAATTTAAATTTAGATTCACTTTAATGTAATTATTGTATTAATAGTTGTTATTTAACTAAAGGTCTTGTGTTTAAAACTAGTTAAACGAATGAGCGATTGAAGAGATTTTTATTTTTACTTAACTTTTTCTCTTATTTTTACTTTTTGTATACATTTTTCATAATATATTATAACCTAAACTTAAGAGTATATTAATTATCACTTAATTGTATAGAATTACTTAAATCTCTTACAAAACACTTAAAGCCAAATATTTATTTAAAAGAGTTAACAATAATTTTATTCAAATACAATATTATATAATTTCCATATATTTTTGTTGGGTATAAATCAAAGATTTATAAATAAATAAATATTTTTATCAGTACTCAAACAAATATTACATAAAATACATTAAACTAAACAATAAATACTTTTATTACAAAAAAGTATTGCATAGCTTTCTATTGATTAAAATATAAATAATATAAAGCAATAATTTATCGGTAATTTCTCTCAAATGCTCACAATATGTAAAAACTATTTTTATATTTATTGAAATTCTGATCAAATATTGTCTAAACGTATAAATATTAATACAATTGAGTGTATAATAAAATGATTGTCAGTTAATGGACTCTTGAATAGACTCAACAGGAATGACACTAAAATAATATTTAAATAATTTATTTGTCGGAACACTTGAATTATAATATGCCTTTAACTATGTGTTTAAAATAACTTTTCTAGCTATAAATGAAAGCTAATGAATCAGTATTTTTACCATTAAGGATATATTGACTCCTTTTGGTATAAAAATTCATATTTTCTTATTGTAATATACGATAACAACCTGTTTATTCCTGTGAAATATATGTGCCATTAATACAAATGACAATTTATTTGTATATTTTAACATCAGTTTTCTTTATCTGTCAATGGGTTCACAGAAAATATAAATGAATATTTCGTGCGAAAGTAAATCCCATTTACTTTCAACATATGATATACTGAAATGTGATTTACTTTTATAACTAAGGATCTTATGGTTTGAACACAACTGTTGTGAAAAGAAAGAAAAATGAATATTAGATGAGATGCTAAGCAATAAAATAATAATACACTTCTCATAGAAATCTCAGTGGTTTAGTGTGTTATATAAGATTAAGTTTTGTAGTTTATTATAAAAGTACGGTATTGTGTATACCATTGAATCTCATACACGATATTAAGCATTGAATTTATAATACTGTATATCATTTACAATGAATTAATCAAATGATAATATGAAGGCCAAGGATATAGGGATGAGAAAGAGTGAGTGTTGTGTATGAGAGCCATAACGAGGCGTTTTCCCAAATTTAGAGATTAAAATCTCTTTTCTTTATTTCTTCGGTTAATAATACGGCGAATAAAACAATTTTTCAATTCATTTGTCACTCCAATGGCGAACATTATTATAATAAATTGTTTATTAACCAAAAAAATACACAACACATTATTTTCCCCATACACTCTCATTAATCTATAAATTCGCCAATTATTTCCCATACAATATAATACATGATATTTAAGACTTTTAAATTGCATTTTAATTCAATATTATGTGCGAAATGATTGCACCGATTATAACGCTAGTCGTGATATTAATTGAGAGTTCGGGTCACAAAATACCTGTTATTATATACCTGTAGTTCACAAAAACAATTCACACGTATATTTAGCGAAATATTTACTAAATTATAGCTTTTGTGCACATATTTTCTCAAATATGATATATGGAGTATAGCTGAGGGAAAGTGGCCTAAAATTATCTACTGATCCCTTACCATGATTTTAAAGGTTAGAGTTTACTGTATTACATATTATATTGCATTAATTATATTACAGGTGCACTGTTATAGCGTATGTTTCGCATACATTATAATCATCGAAATAAATCTCTTTCTGTACAAAATGTGAGAAAATTAACTGTTTATTAAATATGAATGAATAATTGATGAAATATTTTTCTTAAAATATACAATTTTGCACAATATATTCTGTATGAATGAATTATAAGCAATCGTTTATTGTGCTATAGCCTATAGCATGTATTCTACCATATTCTGTTTGGTTTTAAGTTGCAATTAAATTATATACTGTATTAAAATCGATATCAATATTAAAAATTTTAGGCTTTCTTTATTGAATCTGTTTTTTGTTGATAATTTGTGTTTAATATATCTATTAAATGGATAATTTAGGAGAGATTTGATATGACTTCCCGGACGGGTAGTGAGGATACGCTCTAATGAACAGCACTTTTCTTATTTAATACAAATAACAAGAAGAAGATACCATTAATACATCGAGTCTTCACTGAAAAACACTACATTAGTGCACATCTCATACAAAAGTGTTCATTATTTTCAAATAAAAGTGAAATTAAAGCCGTGAAAAACTATTAGTAATTTGTAGTTAAACTGCATGTTTTGGCAAAATTAATGCCATTCGTAATGTAAAGTATGTTTTGTGTAAAACTATTGTTTTAATCGGCGCCGGATATCGTTAATTAAAGTTTTAATTAAGTAATAAATTTTAAAACAACAAGTGATTTATGTTAAAAATGGATCATTAAAGTAGTGGTAGGGTAAGTGATTGCACATACAATTTCACTTATAATTGTAGATTTTGCATATGTTTTTAGCCGTATAACTCACTCGTGAAAAATGTGTCCTTAAAATGATAGACTTTTTCACTCATTTTCTTACACATTGTATCCAAAATAAGTGTTGGCTTTTCTCAGTCTCTGGTATTGCAATTGCAATGCTATATGTATTGTCTGTTTTATGAATGTCACAAAACTGTTGATTCATTTATTAAAATTAATTATTTGTAAATTAAATTTTCTAAATATGTAAGAGAAGTGAAATCTCACGGCACCTTTGAAAAAGAGACGTGGGCATTTAGACTTTTAGCAATTTACCATCTCGCCAAACCTTCAACACAGATCGTAAGCAAAAAGTGTGATGTTTATTTGTGAGGTTAAAATTATGCATTTTATTTCTAGTGTGGGTTCAATAGTAATAAATTGAGTAAATATACCGTATATTGAAAGACTCAGAAGCCGTGCGAGAAATTAAAGTGTCTAAACATATGTTTGAATATATTTATGTCAAACTATTGCTAGTAAATCATACGTACAAACTATACACGTTATAACTTTTTTTGAAATTTAGCAATAAATAGTATGTGGTTTTATAACTGTATCGTTTTATAAAGTGATTGTTTCAAATATCGTTTGCTATTTTTTGAATAATACAATAATTTTATTGTAATATTAATTTAATTTCAAATTGTAGTATACAATTGAAGGGCACTGTTAAATGGCTTTTTGTTATCCTAAATGCAATATTATTATTACGTGTAAAATATATAATAATTTTGTATTTTCTTTGAATACAATATGCAATTCTTATTGCCTTTTATTTCTCGAGTTTTCAATGTTTAATATTATAATTCAATTAAAAGTTTTTCTTTTTTAGTCATAATATTTCTTCTTTTAAACGCCTGTTTTATTTATGAATTGATTAACATTTTTATATAATAATTGCTTTTGATATTGTGTTTAAATATTTTTGAAATACAATTCATTTTAAATAGCAGTTAAATATAAGTCCTATTTTCGCAAATAGTCTGCACTCATAGAGATATCTCATAACAAATAAGTTTTAAGCAATAAGTTATAACTTATAACAAAACTATTTGCCAATTGTTTGGTATATAATAAGTGATTTTGAAATTTGGTATTGTATTGAAATGAAAGAATTTATTCGCAAAAGTATTAATGAAATAAGTATTTTGAAAATGATATTTATAAAGCAAACATCACAGTAACATAAGACATTTAAATAAATCTAAACAATTTACAAATTGATTAAAAATCAGTCGTCAATTTTCTATGAATTTTATATATTAATTGAATAAAAAATTATTTAAATTTTCACATTTCTCTCACAATTTTATGTAGGATTTCAGGCTAAATGACTGCTGAAAAAGTGTTCACAAATGCAACTAAAGGTTTGACTAATAACCTAAAAATTTTAATGTCTGTCATTTACTTATTCTTGTATTGTTTTATTAATTTTTAGTTTAATTTCGCGTATATTTTGCTAACAATTTCGACAATTTTGGCGGAAGATAGCTATAGACGGAGTACTAAACCATCAAAAAATGTAAGCAAATTAAGGCTGACTTTAATGAATGTAAAGAAAACTATTTTCACTTTTTAAATGAAAAATCACATTAAAAAACGAAAGTTTGACCCAAATATATGCCGCACTTCTAAATTGAAACCCAGATATACACACATTATATTATATTTCTTAAAAACTTTTTTAAATGACATTCAGTTTTATATTCCCAGTCATTAAGTAGTAAAACCCTGAATATCCATAATATTTGCATAAAACAGCAAAAATATAAATAATATTTACTGTAAATAACAATATTTCAATTTATTTACATATTTGGGAATTGAGTGATCAGTAAATCTTATATCGTAGAATAAATATTATCTTGAAATTAAAGCTCATTTAAATATTTATTGAAATTTGTATTGAAATTTAATGCCTTCACTCAATAGATTGCTAATGAATTTTCCAACAAAAGTATTGCAAAGACAGTTGAGTCGGATATTGAATCGGAGAGATTGTCACCGAAATTAAGAAAAATACCTCAAATATTACAATCGGAATCAAACGATCAAAACGGGTCGAGGGGTAGAAAGTCGGGTAAACGCAACACTCGGGCGGACAATAGGGCTGCGGCCGAGTCCTACCGAAGGGGCGGTCCATTCCTCGGCTCCGATGAGGTGCCCGACAACGAAGAGGAGACGTTTGAAGAGTTGGAAAATGATTTTAGAGTAGATGATATGGGAAACGATGTGCGCGACCACGAGCTATATCACGGACAGCCCCGACGGCATCGCAAACGCAAACATAAACACAAACGCCGACGATATCAAGAGCCGCCCCGATATCCACCTATAGATCGGGACACTCTCTACGAAGTGGGTCTTCTCATTTATACCAGGGATTTTCAACAGGATATGATTATATAAACTTTTAGTTTATCATTTTATATTCATGTTTTATTTATTTTTATTAAATTTTATGCTTAATTTGAATTGTTTTTTTTTGTGAATTAGTTTAATAAATAGTTAATAAATTTAAGTTTGTTTTGTAATATAATTTTATTTTAAATCTATATTTAAAGTTATTTTTTATTAATAGATTTAACATAAGTTAAACATATTTAATGCATATTTTTTTAATAATACTTAAGGACTTAAAGTGCGGATAAATTGTTGCTTATTTTTTATTGAGAGATTAATTGGTTTTGTTTACTAAGACTATTGGTACTGAAAAGAGTCGTAAAATACACATTAATTATTATTACTATCCAAAACATTTAATGTACACAAAAAAGACCTTAAATTTTGCAGTCATTCAATAAATTACAGGAAGAATTAGTGCCCATAAGAGAGTTATATTTGCCTTTTTTATGTGTCTTTTATAATAATGAGAGAGAAATTTTGATATCAATTCTTTACGATATATACTTTGCAATCAATTATTTATCAATTGTATTATAAAATTGTCGTCTCTTTTGATACGAAGTCATCCGTGAAGTGAGAAATAATAATAAGTGGAGAAAAAATAATTGAAATAAAGTTTTCTGTTTCGCATAGATTTACGCTCTGATTAGCAAATCGATGGTATTTTAAATGCAATGGTAATAGTGTTTTGGTGCCGGAGATTACAATTTCTTTGATTCAATTCATTTGAATTTCAACCAAAGTTAGGCAAAAGAAGGACAAAATCAACAAATAATTATACATTTTGTGTCGAGAAATTGATTTTATTCTCTCTCTCTCTCTCTCTCTCTCTCTCCTTATAATTTCCGCCCCCATAAGTGTTGGTTTAATACAGTTATTAAGTATTTACAAATCACAGTATCGATCACTTCAATGACTATTAATTAAAAACAAACCGAAAAATATTATTTTTTATAATAACTTTCAATGTTTATATGATTTTCGGATTTGTTAAGTATTTTGTTATTGAAATTTTTGTGGGTTTTATGATTATATCTGCTGTAAGTATTTGATTATAAAACACAGACTTTGATTAGACTCTTATGTAAATAAATATATTTTAGATATAATCGGATTATTACTAAAACAAAATAAAGATTTAAAACAGGTTATGATAATTGTAAATATACCGGAATATTTTAAATAAATATTATTTTTATTAGATACACAAAATATTATAAAATATAAATTGATCTTTGTAAATCAGTATTTATTACAAATTTATTGAATTTCCAATAAGTTTTGGTTAAATTTTATGTGTTTGGTCTGAAATTATTGAATATTTATTACAAACAATAAATAATGGATTAAATTCTCAATGGATTACAAAATAAGAGAAAAAGTGAAGAAATAAATATTGTATTAAATTTAATATTACTGTTATTATTCTTAAAATTGCGAGACATGTCTATAAAAATATCAAAAGTAAAAGTTCTAGTAATCTATTACTCCATTACTCTAATTACAGACAATAACTTGTAAACACATTTATAAACTTATAGTAAAGGGTTGTAATCAAAACATTTAATAAATACAAATATGGATTTTTGTTGTCTATAAGTTTCCATTTGAATAATTGAATTTCACGTATAAAATAAGAAATGAGTCGTTTTGTTGCTTTTAAAAATGTTATGAACGCCTTCGCAGACAAAACTGATAAATCAATAATTAATTACATATAAAGGGGAGAGAGAGTGATATAAAAGTGAGACTATGGTTATAAAAGGTGGTGTACTTCAGATTCAAATGCATGGGTGAATGTATTATTGAATGTGTAATATTAGAAAACAATAAATGTTTAATACATTCTGTCCCTGACCTCATACCATGTCTGAATTAAAACAAAATAAAATTATTACCATTATTTATAATAATAACTTTTATATATATTTTTAGTGTGAATTACACTTTCATTCAAATGTGAATACGAAATGAAGTCTAGAAACAACTAATGTGTATATGTTTTATAGAAATTGAATTGTTATTAAAACACTTTCAATGAAAATGTGTTTTAATAGTGAATATAATAAATAAGATATGATTTTTTAATGGCATTAAATGCATGTAAAGTTTTATACATAGGAATCCACACCTCATTCGTCCCAAATTGGTTTTATGCTAAACTGGGAGTTATTGTAATTCTTGATAGTCTTTACATATATTACACATAAATGTGGGGAAAAGAAGTGGTAGAAGAAGGAGAAGAAGGCATGCATTATATGCACACGAAATGAGGGAATCATTAACTAAACAGACGAATAGAAGACTAAATTCTCTAATGTCTTCAATGAATAACAAAAAAGTGAAATACAATTAAAAAAAATTATGAACGAAAAATATTTTTATGGATACGAAAGCGTAAAATAGGATTTTTGTTTGTTTTGAGGATTGGGTGAAGGATTAAAAAATTGAGTTTTCATTATAAGGATGTCATACATATGCGCTGTTTGTTGATTAGTAGGCAGCAAATTGTTGCTCACAATTAGCGATTCCTATCCCCAAATACAACACATTCCAGTGCCGTAAAGGGCGACAAGTTCTGCATATTTTTTTCTCCCCGTATATAAGCTGATGGTCTCAAGAATTTCCATTCATTTATAAGTAAAAGTTTTTTGTTATTTCCATTTGTATTCGTCTTTTCATATCATTTTTTGTTGCCTTAATTTAAAACTTCACATAAAATGCTCTCACAGTCAGTGATAATCAGACTGTTTTGTCTGAGTTTCAGTGCAATTGCGGCCAACGCTCACCTGCCATACGAACCGGTTCTCATTGAGAGCCGACCGCCACCCCTACCCATCTATGGACCGCAGATCCCGATCGTCGCCGCTTCGGTCAAATCGCCGCCAGTTGTGGCCGCAGTGAAGGCACCCCTTCCGCACGTTCACGTGCCGCTCCCACCCGTACATCGCGCCCGAATCGGTGTCAAAACTGTGTTCCGTCCGCCGCCACCCGCCCCTCAAGTCGTCCAACAGGTCGCCCAACCCTACGTCCAACCCGTCTCTTTCAACATAGAGCAGCACGAATTGGTACACACATTGTCCGCACAACGGATTTACGAAACCCCTATATTCCTGTATAATATTCTCGCAATTATAATATGATATGTCGTCCCAAATACAGGTGGGAGTACCCGAACCCTATAACTTCAACTACGAACACAAGGACGACACCGGAAACGGTCAGTATAGACGAGAATCCGGTGATACCAATGGCGTTGTCCGCGGTTCGTACGGATACACCGATGCCTACGGTTTGTACAGAATTGTCGATTACGTGGCCGATAAGGATGGCTTCAGAGGTGCGCTATTTTATTGGATTATTATTTTGTTAAAATAAATCACACGTTTATTATTTTCACATTTGCAAATAGCGAGTATCCGAACAAATGAGCCTGGTCTGAATGAGCCGCACCCCATCTCTGGCACAGTGCCAAACCCCGCCGATATCACTTTGGCCGCTGAGGAGACTCCGGGCCGAGTGAAAGATCTCATTAGATTGGCTCCGATTAAGCAGTGGGACGGACAGGGAAGACATATCCGAGCGCCCGCTTCTAATAGTGTCGACAATAAATATGTGTCCAGAGATTAGACACTCTTTTTATATAACTATTAATTAAAATTATTATTTTTATATAAATCATATGATTGTTCTTTAATTGTTAAGTTTACGAAGATTTTAATTGAAAACAACATTTTATTTTCGCAGTCAATACCTATTTTATAACACATTATCCAACAGCCGGTGCTTACGATTAATGCCAAAACTCTATGCAATTTATTTCAGAATTTATAACACATATTCTTATGTGAATTCAATTCTGTGCCAAACGCTTGTGTTTCTCATTAAATGTCAAATAAAACACTATTTTTATTGTAATTCTCTCTCATAATAGTCTATGAAATAAATTAAAAATTTTTGAAATAAAGAAATTTTTACCGTTAAAATCGTATAAAAATTTTATTTGATTTAATATCATGTGTTCAAAAGAAAGTCAATTTATGTTTGTTATGTTTGAATTGACGGTACGATCCATACCTGGCCTCTCATACAGATGCTGAACAATATTTGTAAAGATTTTGACACATATCTACAAAACTTATTATTTTGTTAATCACTTTGAAAACAGTACTGACTTATGGGATGAAGAATAAGACATGCATTATATGCACACGAAATGAGGGAATCATTATATAAACACATGAATAGAAAGACTAAATTCTCTAATGTGTTGAATAAATAGAAAAGAGAAATACAATTAAAAATTGATAAAATTGAGTGAAAAATATTTTCATGAATACAAAAGATTTGGTAAAATAGGGTTTTTGTTTGTTTTGAGGATTGGGTGAAGGATTAAAAAATTTAGGTTTTCATTATAATTATGTCATACAATATGAGCTGTCTTTGATTGACAGCGAATTGTTATTCACAATATAGGGATTCCTATCCCATAAACAACACATTCCGGTGCCGTAAAGGGCGACAAGTTTTTGCATATTGTTTTGCCAATCGGTATATAAGTCAGACATCTCAACACTTTTTAGTCATTAATAAGTGAAAGTTTGTTTCAGTTTTTACTTTTCATATCAGTTTTTGGTGTCTTCTTGTAATTTACACAAAATGTTCTCACAATCAGTGATAATCAGACTGTTTTGTCTGAGTCTCAGTGCGATCGCTGCCAACGCTGGTCTCGCATACTATCCTCAGATCCCTCTCTTCGCCGCTTCGGTCAAATCGCCGCGAGTTGTGGCCGCCGTTAAGTCGCCGCCACCACCGCCCGCACCCATCGTTCAAAAGCCCGTCTCTTTCAACATAGAGCAGCACGAATTGGTACACATATTGTCCGCACAAAACGGATTGTTGGACTCATTTGATTACAATCCACAGCAATAAATGATTTGTCGCCCAAACAGGTGGGAGTGCCGGAGCCCTATAACTTCAATTCTGAGCACAAGGATGAGTACGGAAACGAACAGTACAGACGAGAATCGGGTGATACACAGGGCGTTGTCCGCGGCTCTTATGGTTACACCGATGCCAACGGTTTACACAGAATTGTCGATTACGTGGCCGACGACGACGGCTTCAGAGGTTTGCATAGAATTTGCTATTTTATTGTTTGTTTGTTTTGTATTGAAATAGATTTGAAAATGTTTTCTTAAATAATAAACAGTAATCTAAATAATGTGTTGAACAATTAGCAACTATCCGAACAAATGAGCCTGGTCTAAATGAGCGCCACCCGGTGTCTGGTGCGGTGCAAAGCCCAGCCGACGTGAGTCTGACCGCTGAGGACACTCCGGCTCAAGTGAGAGAACAAATTCGACAGCAAAAACCTCGTTTATAACACACTTTCCAATGATTAACGCAAAGCTCTATACTATTGAGACGATCAGAATTTGTAACTCATATTCTTATGCTTTAAAATTTCAATAATAAATTCAATTCTGTGCCAACTCTTGTCACTCTTTATACTGTTTATAAAAATATTGTTTAATTATTATTCTCTTTCGCAATACTGTATGAAATTTAAATATTCAAAATAAAATTATTTTTAGTAAAAAACATTTTGAAATTATTGAATTGACGCTACGATCCAAACCCGACCTCTTATTTAACAATACTTCGTATGGATTCTCATTATTTTGTTAGTCATCTAATCGTTTCATATGTTAATCACAAATAAGTTTTATAATAGAATTATAATTTAATTAAAACTTTTAGTTTATTAAAAGCTTGTTTTAAAACTAAAACTAATTACAAGTTGTTTAGAAAACAGATGCGTGAATGAGAGAGAGAGAGAGAGAGAGAGAGAGAGAGAGAGATTTGATATTATAAAATAATTTAATATAAAATACGATTATTTCTACAATATATCTGTCGGCGAATCACTTCTAACGGCAGATAATGACTGAATTGGAGTGGAAGTAGTGGTGACCGGCGTTACGGACATCGTTACGGTTGACGGCAATAAAGAGTCAGCGGTAGTAGTGGTGGTCAGTATTGACTGAGCGGTTGAGACCAGTAATGGTGTGACGGGTGAGGAAGCGGTGGTTGGCGTTGAGGGCGCCGGTGCTGTGGGTGTGGGCAGTGAGACCGGTGTCGATGGCAACGATGTCATCGGCGTTGTTGTGGGCGGTGTGGGAGTGGGTGTGAAAGTGGGTGTAGGAGTGGGGACGGGAGCAGTGGTTGTCGTCTGAATGGTCAGTCTCTTTGTATGATCGATGAACTGATACTTCTTGATGTCTGCCATCACTTTATTCAGGTTTGTTTGCTTCTTAGGGCCTGAGAAACAATGTAAACAATTAATTAGAGAGAGAGAGAGAGAGAGAGAGAGAGAGAGAGAGAGAGAGAGAGAG